CACTGCCTTCTGACTTAGATGAGAATACTACCATCTGGATGACAGCAAATGCTGGCAATGATAAATTGGGAGTGGTACCAACAACAAACACCTTACTTTTATATAACTCCGTCAATATAAGAAAATACCCTAAGCCACCTCTTAGGAGTGTAATCTGAAATGCTTTGACACCATACCAAGAAAAAACTATTAAGGGTGACGAAGGGGTCCACATAGAAATAGAGCAAAATTGATTGTTCATTTTGGTAAATGCATAGTTCCTTATAATCCCAGGACATAGAAGGCAGCCATTCAGTCATTGTGCCTGAGTAGGTTCTCTAGAAGGCAAAGCCCCCACCTTTTCTCCATACCACTGCAAATCTTTTCTCTTCAAACATTTACCCAATTCTCTATTGAAAGACATAATTGAATCTATGTCTATCACACTGTCAAGCAGCACATTCCAATTCCTAACCTCTAGTTGTGCGAAAGAAAAATCAGTTTGCCATTGTTCATGAAATAACTGCTTAGAGACTGGTATCCCAACACAAAGTCACCCTTTATTTATACGTGCACAGTACAATAGGCTCTGACAAGCCATCTCAGAGTCCGTCCCTTGAATGAGGAGACTCTCTGAATCCCCTGTTTATACCTATCAGCTGAGGCTCCCTGATTGGCCCAGTGTAATAACCCCAATCAAGGATATCATTGTCAATGAAATTCACATGGTCCACATTCCAATCACTACAGGTCGTTTTACAATTCTCCTCAAATCACTTTCCTCTGTTTCTCTGCCCTTCCATCGATGAGAACAGTTTCTCCCCACCCATTATATCCTGACTCTTCACGGTTTGAACACTTTTATCAATATCTTCTCAACCTGCTTTACTCTAAGGAGAACAGCCCCATTTATCCATGTAACTAAAGTCCACCATCTCTGCATTTTCTCAGATTTCTTCTTTTCTGTTGTACCTAGTGGCAGATGAGGTAGATGAACTTCATACTTACATCTATAGTTAGATTTTGCTGGAATATGTCACTATCCTATGCCAGAAACTAGAGCCTGAACGGTGCCAATCTGCATTAAGCATGACCAACCAGAAGTCTGTCTCACTCTTACTAAGTATGCATATTGGAAGGATTTGTGGTTCACCAAACAACTTGTTTGGCCACGTTATGTGTCCATCAAACCCCGGAGTACGATGTGAACCTAGTGCTGCTGTTCAGAAGCAGGAATATTAGCCACTGAAACACAAGGCCTCCTTACAATGGTTTCACATTTTCCTAAAGTCAAGAATTGGATACCATGTGTCAGTTGAGACCATATCAATAGCTTATAAATGTTCACCATAACTTCCTTGTCTCCGTTACAAAATCCAGAATTCCAATGTGAGAAAAGGGAGGGAGGTGGAGAGAGAGAGAGAGAGATGAAAGAAAGAAAGGAAGGATGAAAGACAGAAAGGAAGGACAAAGGAAAAAGAAAGAAAGACATTGCATTTATGTAGCATCTTTCATCACTTTAGGAGGTCTCAAAGTGTTTCACAGCTATCAAAGCTTTTTGGAAGTACAGTCACTGTTGTTATGTAAGAAATATGGTAGCCAATTTGTAGACAGCAAGCTCCCACAAACAGCAACTAATAATGAGGATATAATCTATTGCAGTGATGTGAAAACATTACCACTAAGTCAACTCTTTCTTCGTTGCCACAAAATATCTGGGATCTTAATTAGATCAGTTCAGGCTCTAATTGAGCTGGAAACAGGCATAGGGCCAACTAGTCCTAATGGAGGATTGTTAGAAGAGAGTTGTATGACAGAGATACCTCTTCTTTTTGGTGTTCCCGACATCCTGTTTAGAGAAATGTTTGGCTTCATATCTGAAATTGGATAATCTCCATTCATAGGGATCATAGTTACTAAAGCACAACTTGTCACATCACATGACAGCTCCACAATATCCTTCAATGGATCACACTTTTTGTATTTTTCTTTCCGTAGCCAAAGCTGACTGACTGTTTTCTGTTCTCTTTCCCTAAAGTTACTTCCTGAAGGTTGCACATGATCCCTGCAAGCCTCTTGCAATTGACCATTTATATTCATGTATCAGTAATTGTTGGATTGGAATGATTCAAGGATGGTTCAGATTAGTGGATAGATTGATAAAGCTGGAATTGTTCTCCTTAGAACAGAGAAGGGTGACAGGAGATTTGATGGAGGTGTTCAAATCATGATGGGTCTAGATGTAGAAGATGGAGAAATGGTATCCGTTGATGAAACTGTGGAAGCAATGATAAGGTGATTTGCAAAAGCACCAAAGGCAACATGAGGAAACATTTCTTCACACCAAGTGTTTATGATTTGGAATGCACAGCTTGAAATTCTGGTGCAGGCAAATTCAATCGTGGGCTTTCTAAAGCATCAGATCATTACTTGAAAGGAAAACAGTTGTAAAGCTAAAGGAAAGCATTGGATATGAGAGTGAGCACAGATGGGTAAATAGCTCTTGAAAACAGCCACATGGATTTGACTGTGTGAATAGCCTCTTCTGTGCTGTGATTCTGGTTAATTAGCGAGATCGTGGTTAGAGTTGACTCCTATCTTCACTTGATATGTGCAACACTTCCAGCAGGTGTCACTGTTGAGTGTTCAGCAGCTGGATGCCTGTCTCAGGAATGTTCAGCCTGTGGTGATCTACCTGGCCAGGCTCAACCTATTCAAATGTAATGTATCTGTTTAACACAAGTATAACGGCTAGAGGGAAATTCTGACACATTGTTTCTATCCAATACAATACTTGAACAGCCATTGTAACATACCTTGAGAGCAGCAAAAACTGTTCAGTCAGAATTCAGCGACCGTTTCATTGATGTCCATGAGCGGTATTTCCTGATTTCTGATTCTATTTAAGTTAAGGAAATAAAAATCGTCAGAGATGTGAAACAGACTGTCAATTCACTACCGCCTATTCTAGATGATCGCGCAAGCTCAGAATTACTCCCACTGAGTCTAGATATTAATCTGTCCACAAATTTCCTGTAAATGAGTTCACGAGGGACTGGATTTCAAAAGTTACCCTGCATTTGTTCCTGGACGGGAACCTACAAAATCTGATAGTCCTAATTTCTCATGAGTAATTGTTTCTGAAATGGTGAAAAATAGAAGGCAGGTACTAATGAGGCCAGACCGTCAAATTTGGGACAGTCCCTGTACAAAGGGACTTTCCTCATCTTTGTACAACCATCGATGCTGTACATTTGTACAACTGTGTACCTTACATCTATCAACCTCTAGGTGGCAAAGTTTGCCTGTAAATCACTGGGAAAGCAGTGGAAAATGAGGACTATGTGCATTTATCATTCCCCTTTTTCCCCCGCATCCCCTAACATCAAAGATCAACACAAGTCACAAGTCATCTCTGGATTGACATTGAAGGTCAATAAGGTTTATCTCCCAGGGAAGATTTTCTGTCTGGTTCAGTTTCCATATGATTATGTAATACACTCATATACCTCTGTGAATATTCTTAATATAGCTGTTAACCTGTGTAAGATTTTGCAGGAAGTACTTTAGTACTTTCATTCAATTGGCAGCGATCACAAAATACACCCATTGTTTTGAAGATTACTGCTACATAAACTACTTAAAAATGCTTACCAAATATTTTCAGCGTTTTTAAACATTCAACTCAAATTATATCACTAAAATCGCACATTTGCCAAAACTTATTCTTAATAAACCATCTCAGCTAATATGCCATTAAAACAAAGAGGCTGCAGAGATATAGGCAGGTTAAACATTGGGGAACATTACAGCAGATGTATTATAATGTAGAGAAGTGTAAAGTAATTCGTTTCCATCATTATATTAGAAAAACAGAATATTTTTAAAAACTTGAGACTTACAAGTGTTGATGTTCAAAGAGATTTGAGCATGCATGTGAAGGAATACAGAAAGTTAGCATGGGTGTATAGCAAGTAATTAGGAAAGCATAGTGAAATTTCTTTGCAAGTAAATTGAAGAACGGGAATGAAGACATTTTGTTACAATGGTACAGAGTTGGTGAGACCAGATCTTAAGTGTAGTGTTCTGATTTCCAAATTTAAGAAAGCATATACTCAGGCATTGCATGAAGATCCATTAATTAATCCCTGGGATGAAGGGCTTATCCTGTGATTAGAAGCTGCACAAATTTGGTCCATATTCTCTGATGTTTAGTACAACAAATGGCAATCTCATTGAAACATTCAAGATTCCGAAGGGGCTTGATAGGAGAGATGCTGACTGATTGTTTCCATGAGTCAGGGAATCTAAAAAATAGGGCTCTACGCTCAGCATCAGGAGGTGATCATTTAGGACCAACATGAGGAAAAATTACTTCACTCAAAGGCTTCTGAATGTTTTGAATTTTCTGCCCCAGAAGCTTATAGAATCTCCATTGTTGAATACATTTAAGGCGGTGATAGACAAGATTTTAGTCTCTCGGAGAATTGAGAGATATTGGAAATGAGCAGGAAAGTGGAG